AGTCCGAAATCGGCTGCTGTATCTTTATTCTGAGGATGTAGGCCGGTGGTTGTCCGAAAGTCGGGCCGCGATGATGTCTCGGAACTGATCACTTCGAGATGGTCGGGGTTCGAGTTGGACAAGCACCCTAGGATCATGACGGGCAGTACTAAGTCAGCCATCCGTTAACTATGTTACAGAAGGTGTGAGGGTACAGCGCGTCGAGGGCGACGGCTAGGTCAGTATGGCCGAATGTGAGCGAATGTTAGCCACGCCGCCCGTAGGCGTGGGAAGACTTCCTTGGCTACTCGGTAGAAGAGGCCACTCAAGGTTGACGACCTGGTGACGATCCCAAGGTTTACGACGGTTGGCCGTAAACAAAAATTAGGGTACCCGGACGAAGGTCCGGACGGAGGATATATATACCCGAAAGAGGGCACCGAGGAGCAGTCCGCCAGCAGAACGTCACTTGAGTCGAACGTTGGAATTAATCGAGCGAGAAAATATACCCTTTGTCATTAAAGGCGATTCTGTTGTAAAATTATTGCCTACAAAATGATGAAATAAATCATCGAGATAAAACGACACTAAACATGACAAACAGGCGACCGTCTTGACCAATGTGTCACGGTGTGACAGTGTCGAAATGGGAGGAAAGAAAAAAACAGCGATAAAATGATTCCCGTCCGTGGAGCAGGAACCGCACTAAACTTGCACTAAATTTCCAAAAACAAAGAAAAAGACACCTCGAATTATTTTATCCTTCAACCCTTATTCCTATCCGTAGAAAAGGAACGAGTGCAGGACGTAAATAAAAAGATGTGAACCAAATGAAGGGCACAACTAAATTGAAAACTTTATTACGTTTTCCATACAGTTTTTCGGTAAAGTGTGGTAAAAGGGGATTTCCCAGAACGATGTGTCGGGTGACACTTCGTGAGCCCCATACCTCCAGGTCGGACTCAAGTGGTCTGCGTTGCAAATGCGATGCTTCTCAGCTCTGATCCGGTAAACATTTAAAAAAATGTCCAAAAGAAATATAAACTAGACCATAATTCAGAGCGTAAGAACGTAAGCAATATTCTTACGCTGACACTTATACATATTTGCTTATATAAGGCACATGTATATATATATATATATATAAGCTTATATAAACTTATATAAGATTATCGCGTGAAACAAAAAAAGCATTAACATAGCACTACGCATATGTCTTTTCCTATCTTTGACGAGATCCTTGTTGACAAAATCAAAGAGAAAATATTCGAAAACCGATGTACTTTCGACAGATAAATTAGTACTCTTTTATGGAGAATAATCAGGTAAATCGATGCATTCGAAATTGTATAATATCATCAGAGAGATCAACTTGAAGTCTTCACTATCCAGAAAAGTATCACCAACGTCGCGTAATACGCCCTTTATATCAAAAAATTTTTGTTAAAACCCCAATTTTTTCCATTTTAAGAGATATTTTCATTTTGAGAGAAAATAAATATGGGTATTATTCTTATGTTAAAAAGTAACGAATTAAATCGCAATCAATTATCGATTGCTAGAGCAACAATGGATCAAAAGTATACAAAGTATGTCTGCTTTAAGTGTGCAGTATGAAAAATACGAAAGATTTGAGTTGAAAGTTGTATGACATCGAAAGTGATGCCAATTGTTTGACTTTGACGATTCCTCAATAAAGGTCTGTTTTATATTTTTAAATAATGGCCTTTTTATTACGTCAAGATGTATTTTTCAATTCAATTATATATTTTATTAAATTATTATATCTAAAAATTTACAATATCGTACTTAATTTAGATAATCAATGTTTCTTACTTGATTGAATTTGCATATTATCGTGGCTGTAAAATGTATCAACTTGAACGTACCGAGAATGTTCTTTAATGGAATTAAAAATTCGTTTTTTGCTACTTTATTCATTTCAGGTCAAATAGTTAATTATTCTTTGACGTTACTAGTAACATACATCACTGCATATTTATACTTGCGTGACATTGAATCATACGTACATTTTTTATCTGTCTCGTGACCGTAATCAGTCGCAATAAATGCTCGATTCCATTCCGTATGTATAGAAAATCGCAAGAAGTCTTCATCTGCAAAACTTAAATTACAAACGTAATGGAAATTTGGAATTTTAAAAATTTTAAATCTGAAATGCTATTTACAGTTTTAGTTTATGTCGCATTAAATAGCCGGAAACATGTGAGCTCTGACGATTTCCGAAAGATTATTTGGCAACCATGGTATAAGTTTAATTGCTCTACACCTAGACCATTATAATCATTCTAAAAAAGTCAAACTCCTCTTATCTGTTCAGACATGTCCTCCAGGAATCGTGCTACGAGCTTGAAGGACAGTCGTAACATAAAGGATGATGTCGATTGAAAAATCGAATTTCAGACATCAATTGTCTATCTCAAACATATCACGTCAAAATCAAGCAAAACTCAGAAATATACAAAATAGACATCAATTAAAATCCAAGCGGTCAAAGTCGAATTTTTTGTCATCTTGATTTTCAAATTCGTTTTTAAACATTTTCGAGCTTGTATTTTGTTCTTCATTCCAGAATACTTGACATCCTTAACACCGTTGAAAGCGACACCTGTCGCTTTAATTTTCAAACTGACTTCATTTACATGTTAAAATCAGATATGAACTGAATGAAAATTCATGTAGGCCAGACCAACATGAACTATCGCCCATTCAAATTGTTTCCAAAAATCGAAAAAACCATTTACTGACAAAGTAGTAACTAGGATGAAAATAGAAACAATGACGTATCATGAATACCACTGATACATTGGCATAGTTAATATTGTGGCCCATATATCACAATATATATATCATTTTATGGAGTATGAATTAATTTCGAAACTTGCCTAAATAAATCCTGCAACAAATAATTTTTGATCTGTTTCGTCTCTCAGGAGTTCTTATTTGCATTTTTGTAGCTTACATACATAAATATACTGATTTCACTTTGATAGCCTTAGTAATAGTAGTGGTGGTAGTGGTAATGATACTGGTAGTGGTAATGATAGTGGGGTGGTGCTGTCAATATAAATATGCAAAGGAGTAGCATAGAGAACATAGTTTCATAACTCAGAGGAAACGCGTTGCAAGAATTGCTACTAATAGTACATCTTATAGTTTTCTTCGCTCTCAGGATACATTGAAAATAACAGGTAAGTAAAGATCATGGATTTCACGATCAAATTTTGATACCACACTCAACTTTATTTCTAAGAAAGGAAAAAGGTTACATTGACCCAAGTCGGAAAATGTTTCTTTAGATCAAAAATTCAGATGCAAAATTTCAAGCAGAGTTATGAATTGTATATTACCTTTGTTCTTTTCTTCTGGCAGTTGTATACAACAATTTGACTTCGTCTTTCTTTGATACATTGTATTCAAAATGAACATTACATGAAATAAGATTTGAAAAATCTCTGTCAACAAATATATTATAATAAATCTTCAAAATAATGTCCATGTTATGCAATATTTTCTTTTTATTAGTCGTTCAATGTATATGTTGGTCTCACTTTGTACAACATTTTTTTTTAACAGTTTATAGTTTTTTTACTTACTATATTCAAAGTCTTTTTATATGTTTTTTCATAGTTCAATGGTAAAACGATGTAGACAGAAATTATGCTATAGGAGAATACAGATAAGAATATCAATTAATGTAATTTGCACAACGATGACATTGGAGATGCTTTGAGCAACTAGTGGTATTGCTCCAGTACCAAGAAGATGAATTCTTTACGTAAGGCACAGAAATTATGAATATAACGCTCATTTTTTTAAAGAATATTAATTACTTTTCTAACTTCATTAAAGGATATTAATTTACATAAACATGAATTTTTGACCAACTTCCTCTTATGGAGAACATTTATCGTAAAATGGTAGGTATTTGCCATACAAAGACAAGAAATATAAATAATAAGAATGTTAGTAAGAAATTACTCACCTTTTTCCATTAGTTTATCAGATTGTTGCGGCCGAAGATGTTACAACATGGATGAACGTAAAAATTAATGAAGATAATGTCAGTGAAAAATTGAATAAGACGAATTCCATTGAAGGATTCTACGCCAGTATTGGAATCTTGGTGACTGGAGCAACGGGTTTCATAGGCAAAGGAATTTTAGAGAAACTGATGCGTGTGTGTCCAAGCCTCGTCGCCATTTTTATTCTCATTTGACAGAAGAAAAACGAAACGATGGAGCAACGATTTAAGAAGCTCATAGATGATCCAGTTCGTAAGTAACACTGTCACTTTTTTTAATCTTTAACATTTTAATCTTTTTTAAGTCAAATTGATCAGTTTTATTATTTATTTTTTATCTGTTAATTTTGTTACATAAGCTTAATTAAGATTAAGATAAAATTTCAAGGAATGAACTTACTTCTATAAGCTTATTTATAGAAATAAGTTTGTAGCAGTGTCCAAAATACACTATCTCTCGATCCATATGTAATTTTGAGAAAATAAGAATGTAAATGACAGGACGAGTATAAAACTTTGCTTGTTAGTGTTAAGAAAGTATTAGATATGTCATTATAGTACTAAAAAGTTATTGAAAAATTTAAAGATACTCTCGAAAAATTATTGAGGAATTTATATTAATGAATATTTGAATATTTGAAAATTACATATGTTATCGATCAATTATTTTCACTGTAGTAGTCGTCGTCTACTCTTAGACAACGAATGACATTATTCATACTCATCACTTTATTGTTAGTAGCAATCTAGATTAATTTTACAGAATAGAATTCGATACATTACATCGAAAATATATTTGTAACTATTAAATGCCGGAGCTAAAGTTTTGTACTTGGAATCCTCTTCCTCTTACAAAATTTCACGTTAATCAGGAATTGATGCTTATTGAAATGAAACAAAAATTAACAACTTTGACATGATCGCAGATTAACGTCGACGGATATTTGTTTTGCTTGTTTTCCCTGTAAAGAACAGATTTTTTACAAGGCAGTGTTAAAACACAATTGTTTTGCATTACGGATTTCAGAATATTGTTTATTTTAATACTTATATCAAAATAAAAAAAGAATATTAAGAAAATGGGAAAAAAACGATAAAAAGTTCATCTCTAGAGAATAAAATGAAAAAAATATTAAAGAAGAAAGTAAATAAAAGAAAATGAATCGAATAAAGCGAATAAATTTTTGTAATAAAGTAGATATGATGTACGAAAATTTGAAAATTGATGAACAATACAAACAATTTACATTCTTGGAATTGAACTTATATTTATTCTTCTTCAGATTTATGATAGTGTCAAAGCAATCTATCTCTCAGTTGTGAACAAACTTCATCTCATAGAAGGAGATGTCAGAGTTAGGTCTTTCGTCAGCAGATAAGACTATACAGCTTATAGCAATGCCAATGTACTTGAGATCAAAGGAAAAATTTACACGTAAGAACATGTTACAAACTATTATTTTCAAATTTTTCCATTGATGATCTATGTCGATTACGTTCACTTAATGATGCTGCAGCACGAGTTCTGCAGTAATTAATACGTGTGAAAAAGGAGATCAAAAATCGATCAATCTATTAGAAAAATTTATCACAACACGTACACGTTCAGTAAAAATCTGGCGTAACAAATTGTATCCAACAATACCGATAGTTTGCCAGTTGAGATAGTGCGACCAAGTGCGACCAATTGGTGCTTCGCTAAAGGAACCATGCTTGGGTAGACAATATCTTTGGACTTACAAGTACTTTTATAAATAATTAATAATATATTTTAATATAGTTAAAAATGATAATTATTTAATAGTTATTATTTATTGAAACGTACTAGTACTTGAAACGTATTATTTATTGAAACTTATTATTATCTATTGAAACTAGAATGATTCCTCAATTACTTAAGAGAGAATCCAATTAGTGACAAACTTTTATCCAAAAGATCACTAGTGTGAAAATGCATCTTTTATTTATTCCGATGTGACACTTAAATTAGTAATATTGTAATATATGCAGTGCTTTGTCAGTCTTTGTGTACAGTACAGTAACTCTTTTGCCAATGGTTTAACTCGTTTAAAATTAGAATCGGTTTTCCTTAACTAACAAGATTTTATCTTTATTCCTAATTCATTGCTGACAGAAAGTGAATTGTCATTCAAGCATTTCTAAAAATCAAGAAACATTTTTAAATCAATTTAATGTTTCAGGTATCTTTATTCTAATTGGCAAAGGTACCACACGAGCGATGTCAGTCAGAAATAAAAGATTGGATTTAGTACCTAATGACGGGATGGTCTATGAGCTTCTTAAATCGTTGCTCCATCGTTTGATTTTTTTTTTCGGTCGAATGAGGATAAAAATGGCGACGATGTTTGGACACACACGCATCAGTTTCTCTAAAATTCTTTTGCCTATGAAATCCGTTGCTCCAATCACCAAGATTCCAGTATTGGTGTAGAATCCCTTAATGGAATTCGCCTTATTCAATTTCTCACTGACATTGTCTTTATTAATTTTTACGTTCATTGTAAGATCTTCCGCAGTTGATCTATAATTGCATAGAAATATGAATCAGAAAGTTGAAAAGTAAAGAACACAAGTCTTTTACTTTAGATTTTTGTACAAGGTAAACGACATTTGTTGTTTAGGCAACAACAAGGATTTATCTAGGCAAGTTTCAAAATTAATTCATAGCCCATAAAATGACATATACATATATTGTGGTATATAGACCACTATGTCAATGTATGGATGGTGATGATGATAGTGTCATTGTTCCTATTTTCATCCTAGTTAGTTACTACTTCATCAGTAGATTTTTCAATCTTTGGCAACAATTTGAATGGGCGATAGCTTGTTCTGGTCTGGCCTATTTGAATTTGTTTGTATCTGCTTGAATATTGTAAATGTTATTCACATCTATATGGAAATTCCAGAAATATATCGCAATGCTTTCTTATATTTTAAGGATTTATTATATTTATAACATTGATATCTTCTTCTGCAATAGAAGACCTTGTGGCTTGGACCTTGATAGCGTAAAATTCAGATTTAGTAACATTCGCGTAGGACTTAGTGATTCAACTTTGCAAACAGCACTACACTATTTTAAATACAAAAGTTATATTATTAAAGGTTTTTACATATGTGATTAATGATATAAATATGACTGAATAGTTGAACACAACGGCACAATCATTATGATACTTGAGCATTTCAAGATCAATGTTAAATAATATAGAGAAAAAACAAAAATCGCATAAATATAGACTACAACATGGCGCGTCAAATAATACACTCTCCATTTCTTATTTCTTCTTCCTATTTTATATTCCAAGGTACGTAATCTTATTTGCATAATTTTTATTAAATTTCTACTTTGGAAATTTTTAATGATCTCGCATTTCTTCATCGTATCATTTAGATTAATTTTTTATAAATAAATTGTTTTATTTACACAAGTCGTGGAAGAAAATATCGAATATGAATATTAAAGAAATTTAACTTTGACGAATAATTTGTTAGTAAGTTAGCAGATAAAGAGAGCTTTATTATTTGCAATAATGTTAATATTGATGATAATATTGAGAAAAAATTCGTTTGAGGTTTTTCACTCATGATAATCTTAATAGTTACGGAAATTAAACAAATATTTGTTGCGCGTATCGAATGCTCTAATAGATAATTAATTACATAAATATATTAATTAAATAATTAATTATTAATTAAAGTAATCATTATAGTAATTAATTATAGTAATGATTAAATTATATAATTCAAAATAGGTATCCTAAATGTTATAACAAGAAAAGGAATGCAATTGTCTTCCTTGTCTAAAATAATAATTAGTTAAAAATATCTATAAGTGCTATAGATAACCACAATAATAATCATAAATGCTTACTTGAATTTCTTTTCGTCGCTCGTATCATTATTAAAACAGCATGTGAAAATTTGTGAAGGAGCATATTTGGTAAATATATCGTTGCCTCCATCGTTGTCTTCTCTGTCCTCACTTCGCTTTGTTTAATTTAACGGGCTGAATATGAACGTCATATCTATTATCGTATTCCGAGGATATTACAGATCATAATGTAATTTGCGACAAATTCATGTAAATTATTCATAATCAAAATTCATAATGTTTGTGACGAATTCATGTAAATTATTCCTTCAAAACAGGCAATATGTTATAAAAAGGAATAAACGTATTCAATACACATTAAGGCGTAAAATATTTACATTAACATAATTAATTTACATAAATTTTTTACTTTTTAATCTCTAATTACTCAGCACGTCAAATATCGTCTCTATAAACAACAAATTCCCATTGCTCTCATATTTTAAGCTTCAAAAGGCATAACATTTTAAATAATTGTTGTAAATGAAGAATACATCAAACGATACCTGAGTCTTTTACTTTTAAAGTCCTTATCACTACAAACAAGTTAAACTGTTTCCTGTATGAATAAGAGAGGTCATATACCTGAGCAATGCTCATACAACTTCGAAATAAGTGATATAATAAAAGATACGTCACTACAACGATTGATCAAACGTGAATGTTTTGCATACATTTTCAGGACACGGAATCAGCAAACAAAGAAATTACCATGAAAATCTATCTAGTAGAAATAATCAGTCATAATTCAGGCCAAAGACCATTCTGGGAAACTTTATCAAAAACTTGAAGCAGCTCAATAAATTCCGAAGAAATGAAAATACCAACTGTTGAGGCCTCTAGTGACATCGACGTCAAAGTGACAGCGCAAATGTGTGGAAGCACCAATTTATCTTTTAACTGTATTTTGCCATAACCAAAATCTTGGTTACCGAAACGTCGATTAACTCTTGATATAGTTGTAAAAGAAAGACTAAGAATAAGCTTAAGACTTAGAAAAATCCTTAATTGCCAGTAAGCTTATTTTATGGGAGTTGATTAATCAGCTATGGCCAATCACTTTGAAGTATGAGCCGGTAATTTATTGCCCTAACGTACTCCATCCAAGAATCAACATTAATTGTTCTTGAGAACATAATAGTAAATAAGCAGACCCGAGAGTCAACAATCAAGATTGACAACAGTAAACGCTCCCGACACAATAAACACCATGCAATCTAACAAACGAATCGTCAGTACAGAAAATGGTCAATACAGAATCGTTTTTCACGATAAATGTAAGACTGCAAATTTCTTTATACTGAAATTCTGAACTTTCCTTTGTCCATCATATTTTCATGCATTAAAACTACATTCGATGTATTCGAATAGCATTAACATCGTTCGTTGTACCAAATAAGCAATAACCAAGTTATATTTGATACATGTGAATGACAATATGTATACATAGTTTAAAAAAAAAGGAATCACAGATACATAAGCTACGATGTGAGGGGAATCATCGGTACATAGATTACAATGTGACATGATTTAAATGTTAATAAAAGTAAGTTTCTTATTACTTATTTCTCTTATTTTTTTGTCCAAAGAAGATCAATTTTCGTGCAAATAAATTCTTATCCGACGATATTTAGTGATCTCTGATTAGTAACAAGTTATTACTGTTCATTACCGGATAAGAAGTTGATTAAAAACAGAGTTGTTATTTGCAATAACTACAAATATTACAATGATACTGTTACAAGTTGGTAATATTAAAAAAATTCGCAGGAAATTTTTCTCTTATAAAAATCTAAGTTAACACTCGACAGAAGAAACCCATAGATTTACGTTTTATCATGTTAATTTTCTCTGGTCACATAAATTTACGTAAAAAATATTAGATATAAAGATAAAGACAAATAATCTCTGCATGGTTTTGTTTCTTTGGTGTTCCGTTAATACTTGATCATGATTATTTGAACTTGATACGAGTTCAATTGCATCATGGTCATACAAGATAGTTAACATTCTTTAGTAATTACCGTAATATACGTTACATTTTTACATGTATGTACATATTAGTCTAACATAATATTATTGTTATTTAAATATCATTAGATACTTTCACTATTTTTCTTTGAATCTATATAATTAGAAAAAAAATTTAGTCTCTACTATTAATTGTCAAACAAGAATATTTTTCAATATCTTAAATTAGTCATTACATCAATCAAACGAATATCTTTTCTCTTTCTAACCAATTACTTAAATTCAATACAAGTCTAAATCGTGTCTCGTGTGATAAATATATAAAACAGTGCATTTTTAAATGTTGTAAAAGACTGTAGATTTTAGATTTTGATGGATATTTCAAAACATACGATTTGATAAAATGCAATAGACCTATTTTATGTCTTTCTTTTTTTCAAATATCAAATCCATTCTATGTATATTTTGTCCCTAAATATATTTCAATAAATAAGAAATCCCGTTATAAGTATTGATTTTATCGTTTCCAACGTAAAATCGATAGATTTGTAAAACACGAATAGAGCTCTTTCTGACATACACACATATATATAATAAAAAATAATTTTAAATACTAATCTCGTGTTTTGGATTCTGAAGATACAATTAAACATTTTGCTTGTATCATTTTACTTGATATAATCACCGATGAGCTTTACATTTCGGTATTGAAAATTTGACAACACTTCAATGGTTTGCAAAAATCACGTTACTGACAGATTCGCTAGTTCTCCAACTCGCCGTTGTTTAACCCGGGATTACCTACGTGGGGGTCTAGAGCAGGTACATCCCGGCCCCTAGACCCCCAGTGGGTAATCCCGGGTTAAACGTAGAGTGCATTAAAAATCAGTGATTTTTTTTTCAGTATGTCGGTATTTTAAGTCACGGGCCGCGGAAGTCCGTAAGATGTAATGTCTATTCATATACCTCATTTGTGACTGTGATGAAAATAGTATTTTGTGAAAAGAATTATATAGTTTTGGGGGTTGACATGTACATGTAGGTTGACACGTGGACTAACACATAATAATTATTATTATTAAAATAATTCGAACAATTTTTGCTAGTACTTATAAATGAGTGTTGTAATCGAATAGTCAAATATATGTTAAATTTTTCATCGCATTTTCATTAGTCTCTGTTTTAAATCGTTATATTCCTTCATTGATAAATTACCACTACGTTCAATTCAATAAATAATTCTCAAGTAGATGTTACAATACTGTCTATATTTTTTAATTTTAATTTTCGTCACTATTAGTGCTGCAGTGCGAAACTTGCCTAAATCGATACAACAGGATGTGACACGAAAATAGTAAAAGAGTCCTGAGATCTCCTAATCGTCGGCTGAAAAAATACATTGTATGTGAGGTCTATTCATATGCCTCATCTGTGCAATTAGTCAATGATCATATTACTAGCTATCTTATAAAAACTGTCATTACTACATTTTTTTATTAATATATAATCTAATAGCTTTCCTTGTGTTTAAACAAAAGAAATTTTAAGTAAAGTAATAGAATATCATTAACATAACCTTAATATTTAAGGTTAAGTTGTGTGTCACGTTACTTTTATTTTAATATGACATGTTTATTAAAAAAATGTAACTTTGAATGCCGGTAAGCTACTAATTAGAATAATTATATACACATAAAATTAGAAATAAAATTAATTAATAAAATTTTTTATAAATTCACATATATTATATATGTTATAACGAGATATTCATTACAATTTGTAAAATAATGAAACATTTATTTTAATATTAAATTATAAATTATAAAAACTTCATTTATTATGTATATTTATCTAGGGTTAGTTCAGTTTTGAATAAAAATAATCGGTCTTACGGCAAAAATTACATGTTTGATAATTGTCCTGAAACGTGTTGGAATTCTGATGCGGTAAGGAAATCTTTTTTCTGCAAATCTTTGTGTTTTCATTCTTTCAGTGTTATTCTGCATCAATGTATTATATTATATTTTTTTATAGCAATCTATTTTGATAAGAAAGTGATCAAATACTAAAGCTATATTCTAAAAAATACATATGAAATAAATAACATAAAAGAATTACTATTGTATACATGTTACAGGGAACACCTCAATGGGTAATTATCAATTTTGAACAAGAATGTGAAGTACGTTCATTTGAAATTGAATTTCAAGGTGGATTTGTTGGCAAAAATTGTCATTTAGAAATTGGTAATAAAGAAACCAAATTTCATGAATCATTTTATCCAGAAGATAAAAATGCTTTACAAGTTTTTAATGTAAAAAATCCAAAAAAAGCAAAAACTTTTAAATTTATATTTAATAAAAGTACAGATTTCTACGGCAGAATTATTATATACAAGTTATCTTTATATTCATAAAATATGTTGTTAATTAGTTAATTTTATTTTTTACATAATTGAATTAAAAATTTAATGATAAAATAATTACACATATCACAAACAAAAAGAAAATTGATTCAAAAAATGGACAATATTGTATAACTCAGAATAAAATAAAAAACATTATAATTTTTTATCTCGTTTATTTTTTTATAAAGTTATTTATATAATTTATTTTTATCTTATTTTATTTTTATTTTAAATATTTCAAATGCGTTTAAATTTAATGATTCCTTAATGTTACGCTATGAATATTAAATATTAATAAAATTTTTACAGCATGGTACGCTTACAGAAAAATATTTATATACGTAGATAGAATATAAGTAGAATAGAACGTTTCATTTTTATTTCACCAAACTGTGTAAATTCTATGATTAAAAATAAGAGGAAAATATTATATAAACATATTGGGTCGTAATTGCATTATTACAAAGCTAATAAGATAGGTACAGACAGCAAAATTATAACTGATTGGTTTTTCGTTTGATTCTGAATGATAATATTGGCAATATTTAATTATGTTAAAGAAGTTGTATTTACTATTGGCTGTACTGTTGTATTGGCTATGTATCGGTCATGTATTATATGTTGTAATACTACGTATATAGTTTGTAGTATTAACATTAGCTGAATGATCTATCAAACGATCAAACGAGTTATTTATAATTTTAATATTTTTGTTATAAAATATTTAAAATCCTACGTTTTTAATTTAATTGTGTAAAAATGAAATATAATATTCTATATAATGAGAGATATTTATAAAAATAATGATGGACTTATAATAAAAATTTATATTTTGAAAAAATCAAATATGTAATTTACAAGTTTCATTCTTTTATATACATATAGATACACGTGTAGTAATGACAAATGCATCAATTAAATAACAAAATGATTATATGAAAAACATAAAATATCATTATATTATATGAAAAACATAAAATATCATTATATTATATGAAAAACATAAAATATCATTATATTATATGAAAAACATAAAATATCAAATTAAAACAAGTTATTTAAGAAGTCTTAATTGCATTAAAAGATAACAGTAACCTAACTAAGTTAAGTTGGGTTCTTGTAAACATCGTAATACAATTTATATACAGAAATCTTGCACACTGTGCATAAATTAAATCAGAGCTATGTAACTCAAGTTCTGACTTTATTTTATTTATGTCCTTTTTGTTTTAACAGTGAAATATGTAGTTCGAAAAACAAATGATACTTTACTCACAATAATAAAGAGATGAATCCATAAAAGATCTGAAACTTAATATAGAATATTTAATATATCAATTAGCAGAAATAGCCGGTCCTAATTGCCTCATTAATTTGTAACATTCTTGAAGTCTTTTTCTATCGCCTATCCTTTCAAGAGTTTTAGCAGCTTCAGCAAGCATGCCCGCACGTTCTCCAGGAGAGGCCAGTAATAATGAAGGTAAATGTCGAGAAGCTAAACATAAAGCTACCGCATGTTCTCTTTCTCCAGTATATTGATCTTGTGAACGATCTTTTCCACAAATAATTGAAGAACGTGAATTTCTATGATGCAAACTACGATCTAATAATGTTTGAGTTTTCACTGGTGTTGCTCCTGCCATTATACGCACTGTAGCTTCATAAAGAAATACTCTTGCCAAAGTAAACTAAAAAACAAGTATGTAACAAATAATAATGAGCAACTCTTAATTTTACTAATATTAAAAAAAAAGGAAAACGTAAACTTACAGGAATATGCTGACATAATTGTCTTAGACAAGCTAAATCACGTTGAAAACCTCCAAGAGATATATTAGTAGTTGAATTTTCTAATTCGTTATCTAATTCTTGCCAAAGTGTAGTTCGCATTTCAAGTAGCCAATCACAAATCCACAACTGGGTAAGCTAAAAACATAAATCAAAGTTAAGAAGAAATTCATTAACTAAAAAAAGAACAAATGAAAATATACAAATTTTATTCATCATAAATTATAATAATAAACTATAATAATTTTGATATATATATAAATATATTTAAAATATTTAAAAAAAAGAGTTTTTTCAGAGCTTTTATCTAAATCATAGATAGTACTCATCAAATAAAGGAAAAAGTTTGAACAAATTAATTAAAAAATTAATTTCTGATATTATAAACAATTGTCCGTTTTGCAATAAACAAATGATTGAAGAAAACTCTGATCCCATTTTATTATTCTTTACTTTGTCGAAAGATTGTTACGAATATTGATTTCACTTTCTTTTTTTTAAATTAAAAGGATGGAAGATAAATTAAGGCAGAAGAAGTCTCTTTTTTTAAACGCAATGAGATATCAAACTCTTTTCAAAATGAATAATATTTATTCTGCATAATTAACATGTTATGACTATAGACAAAAATATACATATAACTTTCTAAAAAGAAACTTTGAAAAGTGAAAAGAGAAAAAAAAATGGAAAAGATATTACAATTAATTGTTACGTTTTCAAAATAATATTTTTGGTTTTCCAGACCAAATTTATTAAATATTTCATAAATACGGTTTTAAACATTTAATAAAATAATAAAACTACTATGAGTATTACTTTATGTTTTATGTAACTTAAAAGTTAACATCGTTGATAGAATATTTCAAACAAACAGCTAAAAGAGTATGTTAAAATAACTTGGAATTAATATTTCTAACAATAAGTGTACTTAAAAATGACGATTTTTCATCAAATCTCCTTAATTATGCAGAATAAAAACAGAATATATATTTAAATATATGTAAATATAACATACAGAGTATCAAGAAAAAAAAAGATGGCCAAACTTTAATATTGTATTCTAAGAAAATGTTTGTATTCTTTATATTTCTAGCTTCTAAAAAAAAAACATATAAATGTAAATATAGAGTTATATAAATGTAACATATAACATTTTACTATATTAACATATAAATGTAAATATAGTAAATATAAGTTCGATTATAAGTCTGATAGGCACTCTCTTGTATTTCTTTGATTTAAATCCTTTGGATTTTTATTTAAGGATATATATTAAAAGTTTAATTTATCATAATAACATTTATATCATCATAACTGATAAATTGAAAATATTTAAAAATTATTGCCTCATATAAAAAATTTCGGTATAGAGGAATTTTTGTATGTTTTCAATAATCTTTGAAACATAGATTCAGTATTATTTTCAATAATTTTCTTAAGTTTTCAATATTCTATTGTAATCAAAAAGTGTTTATATGTCAAAAAGGAAATGTCAGATCTATTTATATGATTTTTTTTTCTTCTTCAGGAATAATGTGATACCAAAATTTGACCATTTATTTCCTTGACACTGTATATAATATATATCATATATTATATATATGATACATATGTATATATACATATACAGGATGAGTCACTTTAGAAAAATATTTCAGAAAAAAATTTTAATAGTTTTGAGATAATATCAGTTGGTTGTATCATGATGAGATACAACCAATACTTTTGTGAGTGAACGTGTAAAGGTCATATGAAGGTCATATGCACTTTTCATATAAAACATATATTTAATACATAAATCGATGCAATGTATGTTATAAGCCATTAATTTAATATTTTAATTTTATAAAACGTCATATGTAAGACAAGCCGTGAAGCGGTAGTATTGTATTTATGTTGCTGTACATGCAATAAGTATAATAAAATTAAAATTAAAATATTTACTAAATTGTTCATTCGCTATAAATATATTAATACTTTTTTATAGAGATTGCCTAAATGAGTCAAATCATGTACTAAAAAAGTATATGATTCTATTTAAAAAACTAAAATTGATCTTTATATATCTTTTACACATCCACCTATAAAAAAATTAGTTACATTAAATTACACCTCTCTTGAAATAGTTAAAGAATGTCTCGAATGATTCAAAAATATTTTAATTTTTTGTCTGAAGTGACTTACCCATATATATACATATGTTATTATATGGTGCTGAGACTTGCCACAAGAATTGCACTGTAGAAGTATTGCATAGTTATATTTCATGCAATGCAACTACAATGCACACTTGTAACAAGTAAGCAGTTGAATAAAAATTACTGTCATTAGATATTTTTAATTTTGTATAACTTAAACAATAGATTTAATATCAATGTGTAATTCATTATTTCATCATTTTTTCTGAGATATTTATTTTAAAAAAGCAGCAGAAAAAGATTTAATATTTTATTTCCATGTTCAAATCATACGATTACTTCGTTATTTCTAATTTTATTATTTACGTAAAAGCATAAATTTTACTAAAAAATGTAATTATTAAATATTTAAATATCTTACCAAAACGTTTTGTGACGATTGTTGCTTACAATTATAATAAACCAAACATTGTTCAAGTAATACTCCTGCCTGATCAATAAAACGCATGGAGACTGATTTAATAGTAGCTTTTGCTGCTTGCAAAGCATTCAAAACAATATATGGCAGCAGACTAATACTAGTATTAGCATTATTGCAAAGCTGGTAATTTTTTTCATAAGGAAATTTGCTTTCAACAATATTCCATGCTTGTGAATCATCTTCTTTCAATCTCCAACATGCTGCTACATATATAACTGCTCCCCACCATAATCCAATTTCATCTTCACAATCTAAAATATTAAACATTTTATTTACTTGCCAAAGAAATAGAAAGAATAAATTTAATGACACAATAAACCTGTTAAATAAAATTTTGTTTAAACTTACGCGTAATTGTAACTTTGTCAGTACATAAAAATCCGGCATCTACTCCAGCAGAAGCCATAATAGTTTGTGCATATTCTAATATTAAAGATACATGTGCATCTCCAAGAGTACCAGTTAAAATACGTAAACAATGTCCAATCAAATAATCTCTATAAGCACGTGAAGCATATGACAGAGGATCAGCTTTACTAGTTTGAGATGTAAATTCATGATCTGATTGTTTTCCATATTGCCACTTTTGAAATGCTAAAAATTTAGCACCTTCGTCACTCATTATCCATTTCAATTTTGGTGGAACTGCACATGACGAAAGCAACGTGCGTGCTTTACCCAGATAATATTTATGAATGAATGGAAATAGCGATTGCTTGAAACACAATGCAACGTTAACATATATTTCTGCTAATAATGATTTTGGAATAGTTTCGCCAGTAGCTTCTGCATAATTCACTGCAGAAAGAGCAAGATACAATGTTCCATTCTTTGATCCTTCTGATAAATGTAGACACAACATGTGCTGATAAATAATAGCTATTTCCATAGCTGATATTTCTGCTTGTTGACGTACAGTTTTTTCAGAAAACCATTTATGAATATGTACAATCCATTTCCCAATCCACAATTTATGAAGAAGTTGTCTTATAATTTGCCACATTGTTCCGAGCCAAGCTTCTGTGCGCGACGATGGATATGGTCGGCCCAAGTATTGCAAACATTGATGTAAATCTCGACATGCTTGACTATAATCATTCTTGGATATATTGAATTCTGCCTGACGTCTCCATCGATGAAGTTCAATAAATATTTTACTGTTAGAAGGTAGTATTGGATCACCATATAATAATAATCTGCAAAGTCCGCCAATTAAAAGTATAACATTTGTTAGCCACAAAAACACGTTGCTCCACATTGGATTTTCAAAGTCTGATTGATCTGAAAAAGGATTAATAATATTACTCACTATGATAATGATATATATACTTATAAACTTAATACATTAATATTATTATTATAATAATGTGACAAAATAGCACTGTTATTGCGTTACTATACCTTGATAATTGAGAATTGTACGACCATCCAATTTTGTATTTATATAATCAGAATTGAATCTTCCTACATTATTTATTAGAAAACCTAAAGGATTGAATGCTAAAAAGAGAAGCATAAAGCCACAGAGTGTAAGCCTGGTATGATCTCTCATGCCTTGATTTGTAAGAACAGATGTTGAATCAACATTTTGTAACATATCCGGATCATCCTTTATAGATGATGGAGATTGAGGAGATAATGGTGCTGCTGCTGGAGATAAAGATGGTTCGCTTGAATCTGATCTAGGTGGTGTAAGTTCACCACATACTAATAAATCGCGCAAATTTTGCCTTTGAGCGGCTAATTTCAATGACATATTTTCTGCTTTCAATCTTGCATTAGAATTCTGAAGAAATCTAAAATTTTCATTGGTTAGTAAACATTTTCGCTAATTTATAATATAGTAAGCATATAAAAAAATTAAACACGTTAATATACCTAATATAATCAATAGTCTTTTTTAAGATAGCTGATTTGTTTAACTTAGCATCTACTCCAACAATAATATTTTTCAATTCGATGATTTTATCATTAATTGATGTTCTATAACGTCGTTCTATAGCATTATGAGCACTACGTTTTACTTCCTTTACTCTTGGTACACCTATATGTGTATTTGTGTTTAATCGATTAATTTGTACTTTATCAGTATCCAATACAACTGGGATACCTAAATAAAAGTTAGAATCACAAATTTAATAAAAATTAAAATAAATTTAATAAAAATGTATTACTAAATTGCCATTGTTCATACCAGCAGTTAAAACTGTTCCATTGGCAGTATTTACTAAAGTATGTATTTGATGTGGTACAGAAGTTGAATTAACAGCTTGTGATCCCCTAGAATAAACAACTGATTCTGACTTTATAAGTTTAGCTGGGAGAAGCAACTGTCTCTGTTGTGTCACTGGTGCTATAGTTACAACAGGTGACTGAACACTGAAGTTTACATTTTGCGGAATAGCATATTGTGAGCTAAATACTGTTGGTGCTGGTGTAACAGATATTCTTTGCGTTCTATTCTGTACAGAAGTTACGTCTTGTAATTGCGGTTGTTGTTGTTGTTTTTCTTGTTGCGATTGTCGAGAGACGCAAGAAATTTGTTGTGTATTTTCTGTCACTGTTGATGCTAATATTACATTTCCATTTGGTACAGATTTTACAACAGTTGGATCCTCAAAATCATGAAATTCTTTAAAATCTTTTAGTTCTTTACTATTGTTGAAACTTAAAAAATCTAGTTCTTCCGCATCCATCCCTAAAGGCTCTTCCAATTGCGATAATAATGTATCATCACTAAATAAATTTTCATTTTTCAACAATTCACTTTCACAGTTTGTAAGAAGCTCTGTAAAAAAAATTAAAATAATTTAACATGTCTACAAAAAAATCACACGCAGTTATAAAATTTATAAAAGTTATAAAATTATTAATAAAATACTGTTTTTGATATTAATTTCTTAAACTGTTGTAAGTATAATACAATATTTTATTTTATAATTATATTTTAATATATTAAACATGAATAAACGAATAAAAAATTATTCAATTCATTTCTAAAAAAAAAAAAAAATACATTACATAAAAAATTACAAAAAAATTACATAAAAAGATAAAATTACAAATAGGAGATGAATCAAAAATAAAAAAAAAATCTAGTTTGAAAATAAAGTGAAATTTCTATTTCAATTGAGAAAGATAAAATTTAATTTGATAAATATTAAATACAACATACCATCGATACCAGTTACTTCGTTTAAATTAAAGCTGTCGTTTGATTGAAAATTAGAAAAATCATCCTGCGTTGTAGTCCATTCTCCAGGATCTGCCATTGTCATAAATGGCAATAAATATTTGGCAAACAATATGCCAAATATTTATTTACATTAAATAAAAGCAATGATTAAAATAAAACGAGCTACTAATATGTCAAATGTAATAACATAATTACGAAGTCATCCGACCTTTACCGCGTCCAATCACAGAAGCTCAAGGGATCGGATGATATTACGTCAGTGTGTGTTACTAAATCCACAAAATGTTTTGTAACATATGGGTGAATTTTTATGAAAATTACTATTATTGGTATTTTTATCAAATCTTTTGATGTTTAATAATTCTTTGAATTAAATTTGTATAATATGTACTTGAATTACGTATTATTATTAATTTTGAAATTTAATTACAATGAATACGTGAAGACATTCTGCGAATGTTTGAATTATTATGTAAACTAAAAATAAAAACAAGAATTTAGAAAACATGTATATATAATGTCATGTATATATAAAATCTTTTATTATATTTAATAATAAAATTTTGTATTTAGCTGAAATTTTAAATATCGTAAAATTTTCAAAAACATACATTCAAATATTTATTAAACATTTTGTAAGTATTAATTGATATGTTCATTATCACGTGTAATAATGTTTCGTGTTGTAAGGTTGAATCTCTTTATTTTGAAAGGTTATTTGAATGTTCATTTGGAGACAAATATGTTTCAAACTCTTCATAAGTTAAGTCTGACAAAAATATCTACTGTTTGTAATTTCCATTCCACAGTATGTATTTATTGTTAAATAATATTTTAAACATTTGTTATTATATATTAATTGCTATAAATTTATTAAAGCAGGTGCAATGTGTCAAAGAAAAAACTTTTTCTCAAAAATTAGAAGATGGACCTGATTTACAACATTTTATTGCTGACACCTACAAAGACTATGATGGAAAATTGAAATTAGAAAAGGGGGATAAATCTCGTTTGAGATTACCACCTTGGCTCAAAACAGAAATTCCAGTGGGTAAAAATTACAATAGAATAAAGTCACAATTAAGACAATTACAATTAAGTACTGTATGCGAAGAAGCACGATGTCCTAATATTGGAGAATGTTGGGGCGGTGGTACGCATGGAACAGCAACAGCCACTATTATGGTTAGTATTATTAATACAATGCTCATTGTTTTATTATTTTATTTTAATTTAATCAACACATTGATTGTCACATTGATCACCTGTGATTGATGATTGTGAGATCTCATCTGAGGTTCAAATGTTTGGAATAATTAAAACAAAATAAATATTCTCAACTAAGAAATTTTGAATATCATAGTTGACTAGATAATATTATGAAATAAAAAGTACACATTCAATAATTAAAGATTTTAATTGAAACATATATGAATTGTATTAAAACATCTTAAGCACAAATGAAACTGGCCATCGCAATATGTTGTGACTTTTTTTTTGTTCAATTTTTAGCATTTTTTGAACTGTGATTTGCAAGATTTTTTTGATAACATTCTTTGCAAAATTTTTGCATCAGGCATAATCTTTTATATTTTATGGAACTGATGCTTAGATAGTTGTTTTCCTATGTTTGTAAGAAAATATTCAGAAACAGTTATCAAGACTAATTGAATGATCAAGCACAATGATCACTCATGACTATCAGAGTAAGATAAACACACTGTGGATCACTAAGGCATGATCTTTTATAACTACATTTCTTATTATTTTGTCATTAAATATTTATATAATAATGAAAATTCTTGTGTGTAAGAACATCATATAAATCTGATGTGGCAATCAATGTGTTAAAAGTATAATGATTAGCTAATATGTTTTATATTAAAATAAGAAGTTATTTATTATACAATTACATTTCATAATATAAATTTTTATATTGCTATTTTATTATATATTTACTAAAATTTATTTATTTATTGCGTTATTATCAATTTGGATTTTATTTGAAAAGGTTAATTAGTAATATTATAAAAACATAATAGTGGAAAACAATTTAATATAGTTAATGGGCGATACATGTACCCGTGGTTGTCGCTTTTGTTCTGTAAAAACATCAAGAACACCATTACCACTAAATCCAGAAGAACCACTAAACACAGCAACTGCAATAGCAGAATGGGGTTTAGATTATATTGTACTTACATCAGTAGATAGAGATGGTTAAGTATCCTTTATTTATATATTAGAAATTGTATTGTTTGTATTTCTTATGTAAAATTATGTGTTGCAATAGATTTAAGTGATGGTGGAGCTAGTCATATTGCGGAAACTGTGAAAGAAATTAAAAAAAGGTACATAATTCACCTTACTTTTTCCGTTATTGTAACAAGTTACTTTTGTAATTACATATCAAATAAACATTTCATATATATATATATTATATTTTTGCAGAACTAATATTTTAGTGGAGTGTTTAGTACCAGATTTTAGAGGAAATGAAAATTGTGTAGCAACAATTGTTAATTCTAATCTTGATGTGTTTGCTCATAATATTGAAACTGTTGAACGTCTAACTCCATTTGTTAGAGACAGACGAGCTCAATACAGGTGAGATATATTGTCTTGTATTTTTTAGAACTTTTCTTGGTAAATTTGTAAATTTATGTATTTTTATGCATTGTTTAGACAATCACTAAAGGTCTTGAAAACGGCAAAAGAATACAAACCAGAATTAATTACGAAATCATCAATAATGTTAGGATTAGGTGAAACTGATGAAGAAATTGAACAAACAATGAAAGACTTGAGAGAAGTAAACGTAGATGCTTTGACACTGGGGCAATATATGCAACCTACAAAGAGACATTTAAGAGTTATTGAATATGTTACACCTGAAAAATTTAAAAAATGGGAAAATATTGGAAATGAACTAGGATTTTTATATACTGCAAGCGGTCCATTAGTGCGTTCATCATACAAGGCTGGAGAATTTTTTTTAACAAATATATTAAAAAAACGTAGAAACAAACAGTCTGAAAACCAATAAACATATATACTTTAATCTTAATTGAGAATATTTGTATATTTATGTATAGTAATATAAGTTATTGTAAATTTGTGCACAAAAAATTATTGTTAAATTATAGAAATAATTATCATCACATTGTAAAAAATGTGTTATATGTGCTGAATTTTAACAAAATTTTATGACTTATGATACTCTATTATTATATTGAACATGATAAGGAAAAATACAATTTTTTTAAGTGTAAAATGCAAGTTCATTTTAAATGTAATAATACATAAAATATATGAAATATATTACATTATTTTTAATCTGTATCCATTGCAACTGTAACTTGTGGTTCTTGTGGACCTTCATCAGAAGGTGGAGGTTGTGGAGGTTTGGAATCTTGTTCCACATCTGGTTCAGCAAGTTTACTACGTTTGTCGTCTTCAATTTGAGATAAATATACCGAAATTGCATCTTCATCAAATATTTTGAAATTTGTACCTTTTCCTACCACCGCGATAGAGACATTCTGTAATAAAATAATTTTACTTGTAATATACATAACATAAAATTTCGTAAAATACTTGATTATAAGTGATAAATTTGTGACAAAAATTGGACAGAACAAATATTCACAATTTATTGACCATGAATTTTTTTCAAATTTATGTAATCATGTCTAAATTTATTTAATTTGTTTCTATATTTCACAAAGGTGGCTATTGAGATAAACAAAATATTAAAAAAATGTCTTTTAGAAATTTCATTGTTTTAAATATTATATCCGCTAAAAATTACCAAAAATTACTTTATTTATGTATTTTAGAACTTTAAATTTGTCTTAATGATTACTTTATGTGTGAAAAGATATATTAATTTAAAAACATTTATGAATTTATCATTACATAAAGACTATAATAAATTTAAAAAATCTATTTAAACCGTTATTTTACATAAAAGAAAAAAATAAAACTGTTTTCTTTTATTTTTCTCACAAATCTACTACTTACTAGAAAACACATTGGAACATTCTACATTAATTTTGTATTAATTATTATTAATTTTGTAATTATTATAAAAAATGATTTCATTTACCTTCACTGATAAATCAACTTCATTTGGCAATGTATCTCTTAATGCACGAAGGCCATGCTTTATTAGTTCATCGAGATTACACGTTAAAAGATCATTAAGGTGTTTTTCCAAATATGTACGAGCACTCTGAGAACGTGCACCAATAGCCATTGCTTTACAATCAAAATAATTTGATGAGGGACATGTTTGATAAATATGTGGTCCTTGATCCTTTAGAAATATCAATAATACTTAAATGGCACTTTAGTCTTCACCTAGTAAATTGTAATTAATTATTTAACAATTACTTACATCGTACCCAGCAATAAGTAAACCTACACCATACGGTCTTCTATCATATCTTTGAGTACATGTTTGCAATTTATTTCCCAGAGATGCGAGTAAACGACTGACAGGTAATAAATCATCGTGAGAATACTTGTAATTCAAACATTCAGTTCGCATATATCGACTATAAACAGATAAATGAAAATTTAAAATTTAATATATTTGTTAGACCAGTAATTTGTATTGGGTTGTTCCAAAAATTTCTTTCGTTTTATTAATGAATAATCTATGCATATTTTATGTTTCACATTATATTATTTGAATTATATATAATCCACTCTGACTTATTACTTTCCTTCATCTTTTCTCTCATAATGTCATCTTTCTAAAACTTCTGAAGTTTATTAGCGAAATATTGTTTGAGGACAATTCTTATGTCATTTATTAAATCAAATATTTTACTGCAGTTTCATGTATTAAATGAAAGATATAGATAATAATCAGATGAGATAATACCTAAAGAAAATGAAGGAAAACATCTATATCCGATTACTATCTATTTTTTTCATTAAAAAATTCCCTTCGTGGCTCAATAAATAACGTAAGAATGCATCTTGGATAATGTTTAAATAGCAAATCTCAGAAAAGTATATATGAACTAAAATATAAAATAGTATGCATACATTATTCATTAATAAAATGAAAAAAGCTTTTGGAACAACCTGATATTTTTATTAGCAATAACATGATAAAATTTATACTTTATTATTTATGATATACCTTAGCATCCTAGCGTCAGCTGTTAAGCCTGAAATAGAAATTCCCATATGTTTATCTATGGGGAATATTTTCTTTTGATGAGCAGATAACTCGGAAGAAGCTCTTTTCAGAGCAATAAGAACTGCATGAGTTTTATTTTTTAGTCCTACAGTAGCTGATCCTAATTTTACAGCTTCCATTGCATATTCTACTTGATGTAGACGTCCTTGTGGACTCCAAACTGTAACATCACTATCGTATTGATTCCGAAACTGAAAAATATTTGATATTTTTAATTATTATTTAATGTTTTATATTGACTCGTTCTAATATATTTTTATTATTACTGCGATTAATAAAAAAAAATTACGTAAAATGCATACCATTATTGAATATTATTTAGTTATAATTATAAAATATTATTTACTATTTAAAGTATTAATTTATTTAATAAATAACGTTTAGTTGCAAAATACGTATGTTCAACAATGAATTTTCAGAAAACAACTGTCATGCAGCGGTATTATGATTAAATGTATAATAGAGAGATGACTCGTTTGACAGTGGATGTCCATCTAGTAAAATTCTTAGTTAATTTACAATTCCTAGCTAGTTTAAAGAATAAGAAATTTTTATACCATTTTCTAAATTAGTATAAATATTTTTGGAATTGTACTGAAAATTATTTATTATTTTTTAGTTAGTTTAGTGTAATTATTAAATGTATATAGTATATTTTGTCTAAAAAATCCTATTAAATGCATTGGTCTTAAAACTTGTATATTTACGATTAATTGATAAAAAACTAATAAAAACTAATAAATAAAACTTGTATCAGTTTATTATTATTATTATTATAAAATAAACAATAAGAATAATGAAAGAAATAAGTATCGAAATCGTCCATGGGATCGATTATTATCGATTTTTTGCATAACTATAGAATTGCCGATCTTATATTCTCTTTTCGACGGTCGTGAGTGAATACATTTATCTGGTGTAGGTTTAACAATATTTATAAAGAATTTTAGAAAGTTTTATAATATTTGCTTCATATTTCGTGATGACAAAATTTTTCATAATTAGTGTTTTATCTTTTTGTTATAACAAAATTTGAATTTCAGTTTAAAATTGTCTTTGTTAGCAGATGCACGTGACACCATACGTGCAAATTTTATTTTATATTTTAAAATTTACATTTAAAAATTTTATCTAATTATTTTACTTGTTAAAATTTAATATTTTTGTTGCCTGTGCTATTGTATAACTTTATATACGAAAATGTTGTAATTTTTAGTTAACATAACCTCGATTTCAATTAATATTCGTACAACTATATTTCAAGTAAAAAAATTTAATGAAAATGTATATTTTACAGGCCGATTTATTATAATGACAAACTCAAAGGGTTATCGTCGAGGAACAAGGGACTTGTTCTCCCGAAAGTTCCGCAAGCATGGAACAATTCCATTGTCCACGTATATGAAAGTGTATAAAGTGGGCGATATAGTCGATATCAAAGGTAATGGAGCTGTTCAAAAGGGAATGCCTTATAAAGTTTACCATGGTAAAACTGGACGTGTATTCAACGTAACACCTCATGCTCTTGGTGTCATTGTCAACAAGAGAGTGCGTGGACGAATTATTGCTAAAAGAATTAATGTTCGTATCGAACATTTGACTCATTCTAAATGTAGAGAAGATTTTCTGAAGCGAGTAAAGGAAAATGAAAGGCTTAGGAAAGAAGCGAAGGAGAAGAACATTAAAGTACAACTAAAACGGCAACCTGCTGAACCAATGCGTGCACATATTGTATCGGGACGTGAAAATCCAATATCACTTGCACCTATTCCTTATGAATTTATTGCTTAAAACTTCAATAAACATGTTTTGAAAAGATTAATGTCGTTTTTACAAAGATATTGTACATTTCCTATTGAATATAATATTTATATTCAAAATTTTTCTGTCAATCTATGTAAAAGATTACATAGATTTTTGCTAATGATTACATTCTCATAGTTATAGAATAATTATAGCTTCTAAGAATTAAGTATTTAAGTCACAGAGATTAGCAATTCTTAAATTCTAGCTATTAATTTTTTCACATAACACATATACTGTGTAGACTTGAAATTGATTTAAAACTGTAAATCCAAAAAGAAAAATAATGTAGAAAAACGTATAAATAAAAAGTAAATAGATATAAAATTACTGAAAAATAATACCAGAGGAAAATGAAATTTGTCGATATTTCATTACAGACTAATCAAAATTAAAATACAAAATTTTTCTTTTAAGGTATTGCATTAATGAATAGTCCATGTAGCTAATAACTTTTTCTATATTTTACAAACAAAATATAATCGATTCTATACATATTTTACTTTATAAATAATCTAACATAAAATATTTTTAACTTTATACACTGTATGCCAATAAAATACGAAATTATCGTATAGAATTTGTATAATTTAATTAGTATATATTTGTGTTATGTTCTAATTACAATCTATTGATTGATAAAATAAGATATAACCAGTTTCAGAACTTTTCTGAATATCTGATGTAAGTCCATAAAAGTCTTCTATTGTAGATGCATCAATTTTCTAAAATGAAAATTTAATGATATAAATATAAATTATAATTAGAGGCAAATAATTTTCATAATACAAATACTTATAATATAAGTAAGTCTTACATCAACCATATCATCATCAAAGAGCAACCAAAACCCATGGCTTTTGACTATTGAAATATAATGTCCTCGGTTAGGCCCACTTCCACAATGTATCACAACTGCGACCAAATCATACAATCGATCTGGATTCACTGCATCGTCACTCTTTAAATTATTATAGAAATAACATAGATTACATTATTCAAAGAAATAGAATGAACAAATAAATACATATGCAAAATACTTACGGTATTGAAGAGTCGAAGCTCTAAGGGAAAAACTACTCTGTGAGAAACTTTTATGTGACGGTTATATTGTTCCACGTATTTAAATCTCTTTAGATGTAATGCCAGTATCATTGGTAATTTCTTAACTCTCATTCGTTTCTAGAATGTAAGAGGATTGTTAAATTCTTCTAAATTTTAGTATGGTAGACTTCCTCTTATTCAGCCCTTTTTCAATCAGCCAATGTTTATCAATGTAGAAATAGAATTATGATTTTTCTGTAACAATAATGCTAATTTGACATAAAGTAGTTAATCTATCAAACTATTGCATATAAAACTCGTTATCATTTATATAGAAAATTAGCTTTATAATGCAAATTGTTAAACATATTTATTTCAAAAATTATTTATCAAATAAATGGATAAAGAGGAAGTCTATTGTAATTGTAAAATTTTTTCACAATACTTGAGCCTCTTGATAACTGCTACAATGGTCACATTTGAATTTGTTATCACTACAAAGTGTCTCAGTATTTGAAAAACATCTGAGGCAGTGTGTAATTGAAGTATTTTGATCTACATCAACTTGTAAATCAAAGAAATCCTCATCTTTGCTAGATACAGTCTCACAATTAAGGCAGCGTGTTTCTGATGTTAAAATTCCTTGAAATATTTCATGAACCCACGTAGGCTCTGGTGGTGAACCAGCGTCACCTGCACCACATTTTCCTCCTGTTGGTTTGCTTTGACTTCTCTCTGCTAAAATGTAAGACATGCAAAATTGATAATATAAGAATATGCTATTACATACTTGTATGTATATACATATATATTCAAAGAAATTTGCATACCTAGAATAATTTCATTTATGTGATTTATCAAAAAATTTAGAAATTCATGAGCATCCTGTTGCATGTAGTTATCAAATTCCTCTGTGAAAGATTATATACATACGTTACATGTACCATGCATAAACATGTTTAATATCATATTTAAATATCAAATAAAAATAAATAAAATACATCATTATAATTACAAGATTAAATTTTATGTTAAATATATATACATTTATATTAACCTTTCTCTTTTCTCAACCTGGCAATAAATTTTTTCGGAGCTATAGATCCAACTTTCTTTTTTTGAGTTGCAATACTGTAGAATAAATCTGCCAAACATGTTAATAAGGTTTCCTTGGTTCTCTTATTTCTAGCTTTGTATTCTAGAACTTTTTCTCTAAATGGTCGACAAAAATATAAAGCTTGTAGTACAGAATTACTGTAACAGGTATTTCCAAACTATAACGATATAAATATCAATATTAATAATTTTAATATTGAAAATAAAAAGAAATTTTACAACTTTTAACCCTTTGCGGTTCTATGTCCAATGTGACTGGACAACGATTTTATTGAAGCAAATTTGTTTAGACTGCATATCTGTGATATGTTTATCAATGACTCTTTCTTATTTACAATGTGTGTCACACTGTACAATGTTTACAATAAGACAAGATATGATAAACCTGCCTAAGTACACTGGAAATACCTGCAGACTAGACGGCAAAGGGTTAAATGTTTTGTATCTTGATTTATACTTACATTAACTAGTCCAAAATAATGTTCATTAGGAGGAAACTGATCGGAGCCAATATCTCTCTCCAATTGTGATATATTTGCACCCTGTAATGACAATCATAAAAACTGGAATAGTAATAATAATAACAATAATAACAATAATAATAATAGTAGACAAGTATTCTGTAATACAAGTTTTATGAAATTGAATATAATTCACAATATTTGCACATTTATTTCTATACTTATTTGATATTCACATTTTTTCTTGCATTACAATATTCGTAAAAAATATAAAATGAACGACGATTGAAAACAAATACAAATTGAATATATATGATGGCATTTGTATTGATACGAGAAAATGATAGACAGCTATTGGATATGTCCATCGGACGTGAAATTCGTTTCAACTTACCATTTTATTATAATTTAACAACTGTTATTGACCACTGACGAGCAAACAGTATGGATTTTAATAACGAAACCTCCATGGTATTCTACTTTACAGATTTGTTGGTTAAACTATTATAATTGCATAATTGTTGAAAATTTTTACAACAGAAATAAGAACAATTGTTTGTCAATGACAATTTGCACGACACTTTTGATAAAAAATGTTCATGTGTGTTATTCAACGTCTTTATTAATATATACTTTGAATGGGATTTATCTCGATTAAATTATTAGTTTTCATGAAACAATCAGAAAATACCGACGTGTGCTTAAAAGCATTAAAAAAGGTACTGATGCCTTTGGAAGATGTCTCTAGATAGAAAACGTCTTTGATACTCTACAAACAATTGCTTCGTGATTTGGAAACTCTTTTGAAGGATGTTTAAATTTGATGATTTTACGGTCGCTGTTCTTGCAGTCATTTCGCGCCAATTTTTCTAGAATTTTTTATAAAATAACAATTCAATTTGTGTATAAAAATATTTGTGTGTTTTTCTTTCATTCTAATTATGTAATGATGGCCCCATTCTATGTATTAACCATTAATGTCAATTTGAAGAAAATAGGAGACTAATAATTACATGTTGAATGCATTACACTGATATTTACGAAAGATAATTGAACACCAAACTATCATTGAATGGAATAAAACGTTGTTACTAATTTGTGTAATGGTCTTTACCGAGTTTACTCTTGTTTACAATTTCTAAAAAACACATATTTACTTAAATATCTTCAAATTTATTATATCTCAATATGTAAAGAAAGGATTTCATTGGCACACAGGTAACATATGAATAAATATAAATAAATATTTTATTTGTTATTTTGTAAATCATTTAATATACGTTTTTTGACGAAATTCGCAAAATTAATAATTCAATTGCACGTTTCAATATATTTTTTATAAACCATTTCAAAGTTATACTTCCAAAAAGGATATTGTAATTTGTGTAAAGGAGTTATTTTTTATATTTATTTTAGGAATAAAAATAAAGATGGTATTTAACGTAAGCAGCAAAATGGCAACTCGTGCATCTATGCCAAATGTATTGATAGATCATGGAATTATAAATTCCACCCCAGTGTCTTCGTCTCCATTGCGGCGAAAATCTGTGATTCCACAAAAGTTAAACAATTTTACCCTATTAGAAAATGACGATGAAGCGGAACGTTTGGCTCGTCGTCGTAAAATTTCTGACACGTCTTCAATAACTTCTAAAGGTTCAAATGATAAAAGACATTCCTTAGGATTTGGTTTACTGGTGCATATGCCAGCTTCCCAAATGGCAGAACATATATCACAGTGTATAAAACTTGGTACAGAGAATAAAATTAATGTCAAAAATGCATTTAGTTTAGAAATGATTGATTTTATGACATATATGATTAAAAAGAAGGATGCCAATATGTCTAATTTACAAGTAGCTAGTACATCTTTAGATGTAAGCACAAAGATTTATGGATTTCGCGTTGACGGCGTACATACGGATATACTCAAAATGATTAGTGGAATGGAAAAGCAACACAAAGACAATGAAAACCAAAATAATTTAGAAGAAATGGATTGTCAGGATGTAACGGAAAATATACAAGATGGAATAAACCAGATGATACAGAAAAAGAAGAAAAAAAATAAGCAAAAAATATTTACCACTGTAGAAGCTCTAAAAATTAATGTCGATACTGAGAAACCTTCTTTAATAACTATGGAAGCAGATTTACAAACTACGGATATGTTATATCAGGCAATGTTGCCAAACCATGCAAATTCAAAGTTTTATCCGCATCGTTATAATGACATTTTGGTAGATACAGTGAAAAATAAAGTCAGGCAAGATGAAGCTACAGCATTTAAGATTCCAGAAATAACAGATTTTTCAAACATGGAGATTTGTCCCCCTTTATTTTATTTTGATTTCCATAGTTGGACAATAAATGAATCAAACAATGATGAAAGTCCAAGACAAAATAATGAGAGCAGATTTCAATTTGATCTTGATGCAAGTTTGGTACATGAAGATGAACATGTATCTACTGGCATGAATTATTTTGATATTGAGATGACAGAAGAAGAAAATTTAGATAGATGTGCTATAGTACCTAATCAGGTAGAAAACATTGTAGATGTTTGTAAAGTTCTAACCAACACAGTATCAACAAAGGTTTCAGAATATTCTTTTATTCAAAAAATGAATATACACTGGGCTGGTCCATCTCATTGGAAAGCGACCAATTTAAAAAATAGTTTATACAATAATAAATTAAGGAGTCAGCTGTGTCGTCAGTCAAAAGAAAAAGAGAGAAATAAATTACAGCTAAGTTATGACGATGAAACGATTAAGAATGTGAATGCTAAATTTTTACCCAGTCAATCGATTAATATGCATACTAGAACTGCTAAAATGGAATGGAACGAAGAAATATTAACGTTACCCCCAGATGTGCATTATGATATCATACAAGCTTACAAGTTATATCATCATACACTAAAACTTAATTTAACAAATTTAACAAATACGAATGTTACTTCTTCGCGTGACGATGCAGAAAATTGTAATTTTACAAATGAAAATGAAGTATCAAGCCATTCTCTTGATGTTCATAGCGAAGGATGCCAACAAAGTGAAGGAAATGATACAAATGATAATAATACGCAATATGAAGATCAGAGTAACTTAGGAATGCCTTTCACTGGGAAGAATCTAGTTGCTGTACCAAAACTTACAAATAAACTGTCTATTGCATATTGTATACGTCCCAAAAAAATTGACATGAAGCAGTTGAAATATTCCATTTGGAAATGTTTAAAATGTACGATGCTGGAGGATATGCAAGAAGATGAAAGAAAAAGAAGGAAGATAGAGGGAAACGCACAACGAGATAAAGATAAAATGAACGATAAGAAATATTTCAGTCACGTTTATAAAGCATTGCCAAATCTTTTAACTAAGACAAACATCGAAGCTTTGAGCTTCCCAATTTCTTTTGTATCTCTGTTGCATTTGGCAAACGAAAAAACGTTAAAAATAAATTCTTCTTGCGACATAGCAGATATTATCATAGAACAAGACTAAATGTATTTGTATTTAACAAAACGATAATTATATATTAGAATTAACAGTTAATTAGGAAATTATTTTTGATAAAACAGATATATGAATATATTTATTGAATTTTATATTAATGCAATATTGTCACAAGGCGCAATAATTAAATTATTTTGTAACAAGTCTGATTGCGTTTGATTATTTTCAATCTTTTATCTGTATTTGAATTTTAATAATGCGTGCAATCTATAGATAATGCCATCTATAGTCTGTGAGTTGGGCCAATCGATGTAAATAAAACCACGTGACCTCTGGGGGAAAACAGCTTGAATTCATATTTTCAAGATATCTGTTATAAATTAATATGTATTTGCTACACAAACTTTTAATATTAATGCAATCGTTCCTGAAAGTCAGATCTATCGGAATTGTTTCGTCCTGCCCCACGATGATTTGTCTTGATTGGTACATTCATCGAGTGGACAAATAGCTTTCGTTCTAGGAACACAAGTTTGTTCCTAAATTACAATGTTGGCCAATCTGGAATCGCATTGAATGAAAAATTGATGAGCTGTGAGTATCCGCAGTGCGCGTCGTATGTTGTGTTGTGAGCGTTAATGCTACAAATAGCTTTCAACTGAAAATTTATTACATTGGCCTATCGCTACTGACCACAGCAGAAATGTTCACGCGGAACACTTAAAGTCAACGTGCACACGTTGCGATTCTACGATATAAATGAAAAGGGGCTGCATCTCGGTAGAATAAAGCGTTGTTCCGTCGCGACGGTATAGTTGCTTTGCTGAGAGCGGGAAGCCTTGAATATTACACAATGGCAGATTTCGATGCGATCTACGAAGAAGAAGAGGAAAATGAACAAAATTTGGAGGAGCATTACGTGACAACGGTGCCGGATCCTATAATTATCCGTGGAGCTGGTAACATGACCGTGTAAGAAAAATTCTATTACCTTTCATACTTTTTTGCATTTTTAGGTTCAGCGCCTAATTTCATTCTCGAGAACAAAGGAATTGAACTATTTTTATGCTGAACTTGTAATTTCTTTTTTACTCTCAGCAATTTCGATTTTTATGTTTAAATATTACAATTGAGAACAAAATTAAGAATAAAAGATCTTTTCTTTAATTTTATTTATGTAAAATTTTTTTTATATTGTCCTGTATATTGTATCTTTTTTATTTGTCGCATGTTTTTTTATGCTTGCGTAAATTATTTATTTGGAAAATATTTAATAAAAAAAAGAATTTTTTTTGTCTAATATATTTGTAATTATTCATTTTAGATTTGGACTCAGTAATCGTTTTGAATCAGAATTTCCAAACGGCTTGGTGTCGCGAGTTGCTCCGGAGGAATTTAAGGCAACTGTTATGAGAATAAACAGTGTATTGAAAAAAACTTTACCAGTTAATGTTAAGTGGTTGTTTTGTGGTTGCGTTTGCTGCTGCTGTACATTAGGATGTTCTCTTTGGCCCGTTATTTGTTTGAGTAAAAGGGTAAATACTTAATTCCTATTAAAAAATATATATCTGTTTTATGCGAGCTTCTATGTATGACTAAGTTTTGTAATAAAATGAGGGGCAGTCAAATTTTTTGCAGTCTTTTATCTTAACAAAATGCTTAAAAAAACAAATGATTTACTTTTCTACATACATGCTACAAGTTTTTCTATATATGTTCTAGTACATTCATGCACTTTTTATTCTGGTTTCATGAAATGAAGAAAGTTATGTCTAAAGCCAATTGTACACAAATTTTTCTACTTCGCTGCTATTGAATTGCTGTCACCCTAATGCCTCTTTTAATGGCCAAAATAAACAATGACAAATCAGTACTGGATAATCAAGTGTTGTCTGATGTATCTTGATTTTTTCATGCATTCAAATGGCAATATGAGATCTAATGTTGTCGTGCAGAAGCAGTATTGAACAAATTGGAACTTCTCATCTTTTCGACCTATAGGTTTCCTTAACTTTGTCCAACAGCATACAATAGTGATCAGCAGTTCTTTGAACACAAAGGAAATTTATATATACAGTTTTTTGTCCCAAAACATGGTACCTTACTAATGTAAACTTGCTCACTTGGTTTCTGGGATATAGTGATAAATCTAACACTTGACTTTGATAATGTCTCATTATCAAACTGTAAACGTAGTTTATGTAAAATTTCAATGGATTTTCTCAATGATTAAGAAATTAATAATAATAATCTGTTGTGTAACAGACACAGTACTGACTACTCACTTGTTGCAACAGCGAATGGCTAGACCAAAAATAGAGCTCTGAGAGGAGGATTTCTTATAAAATACTCTTAACCTATAGTTCTCGTCCTATCTGGAAAAGTGACAACGTGCCGATATGGCACACTAATTCTGATTTATATTTGACTGACCCTTATACGAATGTTCTTATTGACCAATATGTGATATATACAATAAGATGTGTAAAATATAAATAATCTATATCTTACTATTTATAGACACAACATTCTTTAAACAAATTATTAGAATGGGAAAACAGTAGACTATATCACAAACTTGGATTACATTGGAGATTAGCGAAACAAAGATGCGACACTTCGTCCATGATGGAATATGTAAGTAGATGTAATTGATCTTCTTACGTTTTTACTGATCTTGTCTTAACACGTAATTTTAAATTATACAAATCTTTTATTATACAGGATGGACTATTTGAATGGAATCACTTAAATAATTCTGTTGTTTTAGAGATATAGACAAACTTTATTAATAAAAGTTATTCAATACTGAAGAGTATGACAACAATGATTTTTTTTGTAGGTGAAGAGGTTCCAAAGATTTCAAGATCACCTCTTTTTTTTTTAATATAATGATCTTTTTATCCACTAATCAATGTATCTTGATGTTTTCTATAAAAAAAAATATTAACCATGTATGTCAGAAAACTGTTAGTTTAAAAGATATTTCAACTGTAATTTTATAAAATTTATGCACGAGAGACGAGGAGAATATGAATATAAAAATAATGCCTTTGTCTCTATTTATCGTATTTTATGACAGAATTAAGGTTAAATATTTCCTAGACTAATAATTTTTTGAAATACGTAGATTAATTCTTTTTTTATAGAGAACATCAAGCTACATCAATTAATGACGCAAAAGAAAATCATTGCACTTAAAAAAAGTAAACCCTTGAAATAGTCTCAGATCCCTCCATCTAAAAAGAATCATTATGTCCATATTATCGGCGCCTTAGTATTGAATAATTTTTATTAGCAAACTTTATCCATGTCTCTAAAAACAACAAAGTTACTTAGATGATTCCATTTAAGTGATGTACCCTGTATACATTACTTAATTCTTAGAAAAGAATACGACAAATTCATTTTCTTGATTATGTAAATGATGGAAACCTTATTAGTATAAACTCATTTATACTTTTAGTTACATCATTGTCTAAGCTATTCTTAAGCACAAATCTCTGTTTACATATAAGCACACACTTATTTGTTTTTATCTTTTGCATTCCAGGTTCTTTTAATTGAATTTATTCCAAAAATACCTATATATAAACCTGACTAAAAGAAAGATCTGGATATTCATATGATCTGTGCGCATAACAAATTAGTATAAACTTTAAAATGTGAAAAGCCAACAGCTTCTGGCTTGATTTTAAAATATGAAAGAATTAAGTGTCATCATATACAAGTGTATGTGTATGTGTGCGCGCGCATGTATATTTATATGTGTGTATGTATGTGCACACACATACAAATAGCACTTGCGGGATGCTTATTTTTGTAAATATTATATGTAGGATTGCACAGTACAATAATGAGATATGAATGCGGAACTATTATGGTATATTAATTTTATTCCTTAAAAATTTATTTCGTCGGAACAAAATGACAACAATTTATGTACTCATTTTTTTATAAAAAGATTCAGTTGCTTTCAATTTTGGATTATTTAATGAAAACAGTCAATTTGCACGAAGAGAACCACAAAATGGGATTATAAGCATATTTAAAGAATATTGCTTGATATCTAATTTACTAGTCATTAAAACATAATTATTTCGAACAATTTTCGTTCCTTTATTAATAATTTTTTAAAACCTATATTTCAATTAGACATTAAGCTTTCAGGTAAGAGATTAATCTGATACAGTACAACGAATTGATTATGAAATACTTGTGATTTAAGGGTGAGAAATAACTATCACAAGCCCTTGTATGATTGCAAAGTACAGATACCAGTTTGTACATATTTACGTATACAATAGAGAAACTTACTTTGCCTATAGATTGATTTCTTACCAAGGTGATATTAGAAAATAAAATACAGATAAATATGTTTTACTTTTCGACATATAAATTTGTTATAATTTAAAGTAGTAAGCATATCATTGCTGTTGCTGTCAAGAAACAGTGATATTATTTTTAATTGAAATATAAATTGTTTTACATATAATGTAAGGTAAACTATTTTGCACTAAAGAAAAAGAAAAAAATTTTTTGATTATTCATAACAATTTTTACAGAGAACGAGGTTTTGAAAAAATGGAAAGTACAATCATTGTATAATATTAAAAAACAAAATGTATAATGTTGTTCTCAATGATAAACAATGTTTATTAACAACTTTTTATTCTATAATATCATATATCACATTATATGGTTCTGCACAGACACTTCTCTATACAAGAAATTCTATTTTATAAGTGAAAACTTATGTTAACACATAAGAATTAAAAATAAACTCTGAATATAATTGTAACGAAATATATAGAAAAACTGTACAAAAATGGATAGAACATTTGTTAAAATTTTGAAAGTATCAGAGATATATTTTTCTTTCTATTCAGTGGCTGTGATTGAGAATACAAGACTAGTTTTAAATTTAAACGTATATTTTACATATATCTCAAAGATCACGTACACCTGAGTTTGTAACTTAATATATACTAAATACAGTAAATATCTTTTTTTCTTTCTAAGGCATGTACTTAATTTGCAAAATTATCGATTATGATTCATATTGTGCAAACACACCAGTTTGGGAACATAATTTTTGACTTATTAGTAAATAAATATACTAACTATTTTATTAAATAGTATGAGTTAAATATATTTTATAATTAAATAGATCTTACATTAATCAGCAATTATTTCATTCGAAATCATGTGAGTAGTCATGTAAATTATTCATACTTCACTTGAGATGTACTGTGCAATGGAACCATGAATGTAAAAATATTTGACAATTCTTTGCGCGTTTAAAAAATATAATTAATATAGAATTATGCAGAAACGATAAATGTAAAATTTAACATGCTTTTATGATATATATTAGTAATTTATGTATTTGTAATGCTTAATTGTTCTTCTTTTTCTTTCGTCTAAATTTATTTTGATAGTGCAAATATTTTCTAACATTTGTAAATATGTGAAACTAATTCTTTTAGAATCTGTATTTTGATAAACAAAACATTGACAAAAGTAAATTTATTAGTCAAGAGATATGGATTTATTTCTTTACTAATTGATTTAACTGTATTAAATAAGAATTAAAAATTGCATTTTTATTTCTTTCGTATATAAGCAGAATGCGTAGCTAATTTCTTGAATTATACTTTTTTGTAGATAAATTGTATTGCATATTTTTATGAATGTGATTGTAAATATGTTAAAAATTTATATATTTCAGAGGGAAAACATTACAAATAATTGATAATTTTAAGGAGTCTAGAATTTCAAAATGAAGAAGTAATAAAATTGTTTTGAGAAGTGCATTGAAGTTGACGAATTTACTAGTACATGGAGAAATAAACATTATTATTAAAAAAAGAAAAGAAATTATTCCTCCAGACAAACTTATTTATATATTGGTATTATGATATAAAAGATTGATGTAGGAAAAAAAACAGTATCAGATATTATGCCAATTTATATAGTATTCTTAGGCAGATACAAAATTTATGAAATGAAAAGGATATATTTTTGATAGGCAAAACAAATAAAAGGTAATGTCCCTAGAAATGTAATGTCATTTTTGTTGTATACTCTAGTATATTAATTGTGTTTCGTAGAAATGTAATAAAGAAATTTTTAGAAAATTATTTAAAGGAAATACAATTTTATTTAATTAACCCGATGAAATAATTTTTAAAAAAGTACAAAATACACGGAAATTTTGTTACAAATACCGAGAATATTATTTCATATTTATTACTATTGCAGCAGAAGAAAAGCAGTATTCGATACTTTATGAAAATGAATATTAGATTATCACGTGTGCCTTTCACTTGTGGATTATCTGAATTCTATATGTATATATTATATATGGAAAATATGGAACACTTATACCATAAATTTATATTTCCATAAAATGATAACTTCTATTTTTATTAACTAAATCCATCTTTTCTATATTTTATAATTAAATATATATACTAAATCTTTTATTATATTAATTTTAGATTTAATTACCACCTGTAACTTATATTTAGACATTTAATAAATAATTCGTAAAAAAAAAATACAAAGTTGTTTAGTATGTACTAGATATTTAAAGTTGTTATTTTAACATCTTAAAACAATTTTGATTTAGGCATTTGTTTTTTTCTTTTTATAGTAAATATATTATTTTGTAATATTTAATTCTTCGTGCGAATGTTTTTTTCTTGTATGTATGATAATATAAAGTTTTTAGCGTAATACTCTTTTTTTCTAAAAAACTTTATTGTTGAATGTACGTGTGAATTTACATTTACAATTAGATATACACAAAACGTTGGCCTCTTTCTAGCTACATACATACAAATCTTATAAGCTGCTATCTGCATTGAAATGATATTTGCCAAGAATAATTCTGTTATGATAATTAAAACAGCAGGTGCCTTTACAGCTCAAAACATTATTACAAGACATTATTAGTCATGGTAGTGAATAGGTAGTGAATAGATACCACATAAATCTAAAGTCAAAACATATTTTGTGGAATTATACAATTTTTCTGATATTTTCAGCACATGTATACAAATGGTGTCATTTAACAGTATACATCTGCAATTCATATTAATACTAAATGTACTATTACAAACAATATGTTCTAGTGAAACTTCAGTAAAAGATGAAGTCAGGTGAGAAGGGATTTTCAGAAAAATTACAAATAAATGTAATTGATAAAGAAAGATTATTGTATATTCTCATGTGCATACTTACATTTATTATATAGTTCTTACATTAAAGGAAATTTGACATGTCCATTACCGTTAACAACTTTGGATTTTCTTTATAATTTCTCACAGTCTGATTTGGAAATTGTGTGGCCTTGTGAAATTCGTTTTTACTGGTTATCATTACAGCCATTTGTTAAGTTTGTACGTTTTTTACTTAGCTATGTAACACTTCTCATTATAATACTTGGTAAGTAAAAACGAAAAAAGAAATCTCATATTTTATTACATAATAATGTGCTGTTTCATTTTTGTAGTTTAGATCTATTGTACTGTAATAAATGATTAATTATTTACATAGGTGTGTTGTTAAATACCATATCTTTTGTAATATTAAGTACACCTGTACTTTGTGAATCTAATTTGTCACTTTACTTAAAGGCACTTGCCTTGTCCGATAATGGAGCACTAATATTTAACTATGCTGTGGGTATTGCAAAATCACATTTTATATTTGTTAATAATCTTTTCATGGTAAGCAATTAAATTAAATTTAGCTTACACATAATTAAAAACTCAAGTTTATCATTTTCTTAGAATAACAGATTTCTATGCGGTTTGAATTCCGTTACTATGGAATTCTTTCAATTTACATCTACCTGGCTAGTAGTAGTTCTCACATGGACACGACTATTTGCTATTATGTTTCCTTTTGGATTATATGGTCATTGTAACAATTGCTCTGGAACAATAATCATTGTCATTTTGATATGTCTTAGTTTTATAATATCATTAACAAAATTGTATTCAGGAGGTAAACAATTCTATGTTTTGTTTCGTTACATTTATTGCTATTCAGAATTCTTTTCATATACGTTTATTCTTAAAGTTATGATAACAATTACAAAAGTCAAATATTTTGTTTAATTTGCAGGCTATGAAACAGACAGTGTTTTTGAATTTATACCATGCCAAAAGAAAATAAAACCATGGGGTAATGCAATGTATTTTTATATTGCATTATCAACTTGGTTGCCTCTACTATTTATATTTATTGGAAATATTTTACTGATTATACACATGAAAAAAACTGAAAAAATTCGTTGTCAGTTGACTCGTAAGTAAATAACTCGAGAAAATTCGCGTGATTAAAGAAATACGAATAAATTTAATTACGCTATTTCTTAGAAAATTTCAGACATAAAACGAACAAAATACATCATACTTCCAGAACATTGTTTGTAGTATCAACTGTTTATTTAGTGCTACTACTACCCCTTGGAATAGTTGAAACTTTGGGACTATATTGGGATATCATTTTGATTAAATTTCCCGATACTGGGACAAAAAGGAAAGCGGAATATATACACTGGTATATAAATTACACACTATGTGTACATGTATACTACTTGCATACATATTGCAATTATATTTGACAATTATTAATTGTTTTTCAGGTTGAAAGAAAAAATGTTATTGAAATGGTGCCGTGGCTTATGCTTTCACATATATCATTGGAATTTTGCAATCAATTTCTTTTTATACTGTCTCACAGGTGAAAAATTTAGGAGCGTAGTTATGCAAACATTAAAGCGGTATAAGATTGTAATGTTTTCAATATTTTCTAAACGCATTAACAAATATACATTGTGTTCAAAATATCCGACACATTTGAAATCCATACAGTCTTCGAATGTTTTAATAAAAGCTATTGCGTTTGATGAACATTCCATTTCTGGAAATGTTTCTACACAAAATAATAATATCACTGTTGCACATTTAACGCAATAGAATACATAAATAAAATTTATAAAAGTTTTTAATATTAAACATAATAAAATGAATTTTTTACGTCAACTTTTTGTTTGACACATTGTCGTATATTTCATGGCAAATTTTATTATTTAGATCACTTTTGATAGGTATACTCTTCTTTGTTTATGTCTTTTACTCATTTTATTATACATTTTATTATAATTTACAAAAATTGAAATTTCTATTACATATTTCTAGGAAGTATATTACTAGTATTATTTATCACATTAAATAATTAATTTAAAAAAAGAAATGACTACTAATGTAGCCAGATATCACATTGCATATGCTGAAATAATTTTAAAAACTACATTTTTCTGCGTTATATTCACGAAAGTGAAGATATAACAAATTATGCTATAATTTGCTATAATTATAATCGTATTGTATAATTATAATTATAATCATATTGTATAAGTCATATGAATTTTATAAATCAAATATCTGGTTCCAACATAGATTATAGAATTTATAAAACTATTGCTTAATATTTCAAAAATTGTTTAAATAGTTTTTTACATGTTACAATTGAAAAACATCTACACGCACTTGGGAAAATACATTTTTCTTCATTGTAATGAGAGAATAATTAAGTATTTACATTAAAATGTGATGCTATAGCGAATATTTAAATTTGATATTTTTAGAATCAGCATATTCATGTACTAAATATAAATCAAAATATATTTTAAATATACATTACAAAATACGATTTGATATATATATGTAGTACATTCAAGTGTAAAGTATGATGTATACATGTTTATTAGTAATAAACTATAAGTTAACTATAAAAAATTTTTATTACTCTTTTTTTTTGTTACCTTTACTAGCTAATACGTAATTTTTATTATAACAACACAATATGGGATATGCTGAACAAAATAATTACAATAACACTAAAACATCACATGTTTAGTTGCAATTTTGCATTGATTTACTAAGTTTTGAATATTTTATATAGAATATGAGAAAATATAATTATTCGTTTTACATGTGTTATTTGTATCACATTGCATATTTTATAAATTTTTGTTTAGAGTTATTGAGTTCATTAAATAAGTGTATTCAATTAGTTTATCAATAAATTTAGGATTTATCTATACTTGACAATTTGAAAAATTTTCAAAGAAATGTTATTCAAAAAATTTGATGATCAAAGTATTACTTTCTCTATATATTATATAATAGGTAACTTAAATAGAATAAATATGATTCGTTGAAATTTAATATTTAAATATCTTAATCTCAATTTTGTGCGTAATTACATTGAAATTTCTGCTAAAAAAATAACATTATTACAAAATTTTATATGTACATTTTTTTCACATTTTTGCACTTTAAGTGCATTTTAATATGTAAGTATAATCCTTTCACTAGTTAACCCAAAGATAGTGCTGCTTGTTTCATATATACATATATACACATATGTATCATTTGTCATATTAGATTATATATATTGACGCGATAATTCTTATCAAAAGTCGAAACCGCCCCTATGCTTGAAACGAACGTACGTATTACTAATGGCACTGTCTTTAACTAGCAAAAGAATTATTTTGTATAAAAATATATATTACATATGTAATTTAGGAATAATTTTAATGTTTAATACTTAAATATTTGTATGACAGTAAGAAATGTTTTATTTGTATTATTTAATTTTTTCTTTAAATAACATTTGAGATATATATAAAATACTAATAATGAAGTAAAAATTAGAAAAGATTAATTCATTTCTGAAAAATTACTCTACTTACTTTTTGATTTTAAAAAGTTTCAAAATGTAAATCTTTTATTTTCAAAAATTCGATATTTGTTTCATTGAAATTTTTTCTCCCTCTTTCTCGCAAGACAATACGTACTTGCACATAATTCAGTCTTTTTGTAAATAGAAATTCTCGAAATATACGTTTCAATCATTCGATACAATTATGGAAAGACTCGATAAATTTAAAACTTTTTGTTTCTTATTTTACGAAAATATCATTATAAAAATTTATCGCATGTATAAGATCAAGAATCAAATTTACCACAGAAAAACCACTGACATATCATTCGTAATACGAGAGAACGTGCAAGTTAATGTGATAATGGAAGATTACATGGGATTCTATTTACGTAATTTACCGGAAATTGTCCTTTTCGATCTTTGCACTCACCATATAACCAATCGTGTGAAATCCTCGATAAAACTGTAATTTTATCTCCTTCCTGTAACATATATTATAGTATATAAGTAAAATAAAATTAAAGTGAATTTTAAACGAGAAGACATATAGTGTAGTGTAAAATTCGATATAAACGAGTGGGTTTTGTCATTACAAATTTAATAAAAAAATGTAAATGAAAACTTTGATTTCACAGCGAATGAAAATAAATCACTATGAATTTCTTATTTTTGAAACATTTACAAGAATTGTGATGGTCAGACGAGCAAACAATAATGGTTAACAAACCATATCAAAATTTGTTTGTGTCATGTTAACTTACATCAAATACTAAATCTTCTGTTGTTTCACCTTTGAAAGGATAGATAGCAGTAACTATATTATCTGGAATACCAGGCAATGGTACTCTTATGTCAATAAAATTAATAGGAAATATTCCTTGTTGATTTCCTATTCTACCCTCCATCCAATCCTCGTTGATTTTTCGTATCAAATATATTACATCGTTTTGCTTGAAAGGCAAATCACCCGCATGTATTAACGGAAAATCGTACAGAGCAATGCCATAAGGTTCTTCGCTATTGATCTGAAAATAGATAGTATCAATTATTTTGGTTATAATCACAGATTACAAATTATAATTACTTACTGGTAAATCATTATTTACTTCTGCTAAATATTCTAAAGGTGGTGCAGGCGGTGGTATTGTAGGCATTGGAGGCGAAGGATTGTCCTTAGAATCATTTTGCCATGAGTTACTTAAATCCAATGTCATTGGCTTAGCAAAAGGCACTGTTTTGTTTGAACACCTCGAATCAGTTTCGACATTATTGATCTTTTGTTCCATTTTCATTTGTAAAACTTTTGGAACTGGAGGTTTGGGTGGTTTTGCACGGATTATAGTTGGCATTGAATGAGTAGTTTTCAAAGACGTCTGATTCAAAGGTACTTGATTGTTGGTATAATTATTTGCATTAAAAGCAAAAAAACACGCATCTACTTGTTTCGTAGACTGTAACGAGTTATGATTAGTGACTTCTAATGGTCCGAATGGATCTGTCACTGAATTAACTTTCCATGGATCGTTTTGTGATGTTTTTTTAGTAGATATTCCAAAAAAGTCAAAATCATCTTCAAAGGCACTTTCCGTTTGAGATGTATTTCCACTGCTTGTGAACGCAGATGGATTTGAGTTTCCATCGCTGCCAAAACTATCAACGCTAACACCATCGCTACTCGATCGAGTTGTGAACGTTGGAGATCCAGGTGGACTAAAATCTATCAAACAAATTGAGCCATTTGTGTTTTCCGAATGTAATATTGTGTTATGTATCTGGCTATTCAATTGCGTCACGCTTGGATGTGCACTTTTTCTTCTTCCAAAAAGATTGGTTAAAAGTTCTGTCGGCCTTACCTATAATATAACATAGTTATATTACCATATAAATAATAGTGAACGTTCGTTAATTGCGCAATATGAATTTAACAGATGACTACACACTGGTTTCTTAAGTTTTTCCTTCTGTGCTTGTGTGTAATTTTGAGTAAATTTTGGAGGTGGTGGCCGAGGTGGTGGTTTCTTCTTCTGAACAGGTTGTTGAGTTAACGAAGAACCAAAAACATTATTCCTATCAACATTAAAAGTAAAATAAATACTTGTATCGCATATTCATATATCTTGAGATATATCACTAACATCTTAAGATACATCACGAGTGCACATACATTTGAGAGGTAAAAATATTTACGCTACAAAAATAACAAGCAGACAGAGAGAATCTGGCATTAAATTATATAATGTAAAACTTACGTGCCATTCCAAATAACGTTTCTTTGTGACGTCGAGTTAATAGGTGGACGAGGAGCCGAACGTGTAGGAATCCGCATTTCTGAAGTCAAATCACAAAATGAAGCGATATCTCGGTTGAGTAAACAGACTCTTTTTTGTATATTTTCGCGCACGAACACAAGTACGTTTGAAAATTTGCGAACGATAATAACGCAAGCCGCTTCGATTATACGCCCACTGCCAAGTGTCAAATATCTTCCAACACAATTTGATTTCAGAGGCGTCGAAATATATATTCGCGATAATAATAAAAAGTTTAACGAATGGTATATATCGGATTTGACGTACGGACGAAAAACATGACGTTCAATGCAATTGCAATGACATTCGATTGCAATGCCGAACATGTGGGGTACAAAATTATTTGCATCTCGTTACATGTACTTTCTTCGATTAAACAGACTGGTTATTCCTTTCTTGGTGATGATTATTGGTTATATTACTATCGACAGGTTTGTAAATACGTGTTACTCACCTGTTCTTACGTTTGCAGCCATTTTTCATTCAACACGAATTGTAACTATATCTTGTGCAATTACGATGTAATAATACGTTTCGAATGAAATTGATTGAACAGCAATTGAATATTACAGTTTTACTGGTGAACGATTTATACGTTGCTGGGAATCTTGTATAAAAATAATAAGAAACAAACAACTGTTTCTTAATATTTTATTTCGTTTATTTATGTTATGATTCACTTGTCAAGGAAAAGCAGTTACATTTTATTTTTATAATTAAAGTCTATTTTTGTAAATGTCATAACCAACGATGAAGTTGTTTATTAATTTTGCGTTGAATGTTTCATATGTATATGCACACATACGACTACCTGAAAATCGAAGTAATTATTAAATAACTTTTGTGACGTGTCAGATGTTTATTTGAAATCTTGAAAATCACGAATACAGATTGTTATTAATTCCCCTAGAGTTTGAAAATTCTAGATACATTAGTTTTACTGTAGTAGTTGCACTGCGATTCGATCTAACCTCTATGAAGCAATAGTTTAAATTTAGAAATTTTACGGTATAAAATCTTTTATATATATATACATATATTTATATTTTATATATATTTATATATATATATATTTCCCTTTTAAAATTTACAATGCTCGAGCAAGTTTATATCTTATTTTGACACAGTGATCAAACATATATGTTTTAAATCGCGTATAATAATTTTTGCTACTAGCGACATCTGACTTAGAACGATTTGTAAATTACAGATTTTGATTAATCTGCAGATATTCTTTATTTAAGAAGATTTGATAAATTTCAGATTATCTTCTTTATTTGAAAAATATAACGAAACATTTTTGTTATTAAATATATCATTGAAAATAATGCACCTGCAAATAAAAATAACTCGTTCGATATTAAAATAATAAAAGAAATTGGAACTACATGGATAAAAATATAATTCTGAATCAGAACTTTGAGAAGTTTAGTATTTTTCTAATTTTTTCAACATTTTGATTATTTTGAGATAAAGTATCCATTTTCATCTTAGGGCAAGGTCAGTATTCATTTCAAAATTGAAAGAATTGAAAATTAAAAAATTATCAGAAGCATTAAATTAAACGATATTTCATACAAAAAAGAATCTGTCAAGTGTTAATATATTAACAATAATATCGCGAGCAGTTAAAAATTTTACTGTTACAAAAAGTTTTTGAGAAAGAATATATATTGAACTTTACTAAAATTTTTGAGTAAGAATATATATATTGAACTTTGTACTGATATTATTTTCGAATGTTATTAATTTGAAAATAAACAGGTACGAATATGAAGTTTCTTTATTCCCACAAATACATGCGTAATTGAAATACTTTATTCTCTACAATAAATACTGAAGCACAAGAAAAAGAAACAACTAATTTCTATACATATAAAAGATGCTTTCTATATAAATAAAAGAAGCTTTTGCTATTATATATTAGAGAATTAGTTTTTAAATCAAACCTTTAAAAGGTTCCTCAGGAAGAATAAAAATTTGCTCAAAAAAAATTCACGAATGAAATTTTATTGAGGATGTTAATGATCAAATTTGGAGGATTAAAAATTTTTGAAAATATACATGCATAATACCTTGTCTGTGAGGATGTTTCTATATTATTTTGTATTATATATTATATTGTATTATACATCCTTATGAATGAAAAGTAGTTTTTATAATTCTGTTAGTCCATTTTAATAATATTAACTCTTTGCACTCAATTATCTCCTTGTAAAGAAACATCAACTTAAATCTAGCCAATAGCTTGGACTTCCTTTTCTTATAGTTATTAGTATATAGATAATTATAATGAACGTTGATACTCATTGGAATAATTCATATAAACTAGGCTTCTTGTCGCTTCTTACGAATATTTATAAAATGGCACAGGAAATTCAAAGTATCATTAACTTCTGTATACTATACTTGTTTTAGTATAGTATACATTCTGTATACTTGTATACTTGATTACTTCCAATGCTTTTATTTGAAGTGATACTTCAATTACTACAATACTAAATAATACTAAATAAATTACTGGTAGATGATGCGAAAAAAATTTCCGAGAACAAAGGATTAGCAATTGAAATTGGACATAAATTTACAGTTTATATTCTATTTTTCATTCATGTGACAACTTCGAGTCTTGATCACTGTAGCACAGATTTGTGGCATTCTCTTGATGTATAAACGCTTTAATGTTTCCGAAACTTTGTTTCACGCGTTTAATAATTTTAACAATTTGTTCCCAAGGTCCAAGGAACAAGTTGGTCCCAGTTTTCTCACCCTCCTATTTAACTCGTCCCACCGAAGTTCGATCGGGCGAAAAGATAGGGTGACTGTATCATTCTTTTTAACACTCTCTCTTATTCCACGATATAATCGAGACGAATGTTTTTTAGGACTGTCTTCTTGAAGCACGAATTATTACCACAAATCCACTGTTCAGATGATATGGTGTACCCTCGATTTTTATTAATTTTCCAATCTTTTTGCTTTTCTTTGAAGAGAAATTATATTACTTTCTTTTTGTTTGATGATAGGGATTTTTTTCAATCTTTTTCCACCGCTGTCGACACACGTAAATTCGAACCAAAAATTTCGAATTTGGACTCATCAATGCACAATACATTGTTCTTTTTCTATCTAATTGGCGTGTTTTTTGTGCAAATACAAACCTTTTTGCAATATCTCGTTTATTATATCCTTCACGTAAAGTAAGTATCACAGAACGTCTCTCAATTATTTTGAACATTTTGCAATTTTAAAATGCAACTAATATAATACCTTGAAATGAAATTGTTTATGTATCAACTTCCCCTATGTGGAATACCTTTAAAATATCTTTAAGGATAGTCAGAGGAAATGCAGCATATTTGGAATATTATTTTGTTTCAGATGAATAAGAAATTACAGCAGTAAATGGAAAAAAAAAAATATGTTTCACATTCTTAATAATAATAAGAAACAAAAAAGTATCTGAAGCTATTTTGTTGCAGTACAGATCATTTGAAATTCCAATTTAATAATAAAATGGCATTTACCTTCATTTTATTAGATTAAATTAAACAAGTAATGAAATTATTTTCTCTTATAATCCAAGTTGATATTAATTGCAAGTAAGTATTATTAGTTAGGTAAATAGTTATTTTAAGCTCGTTTCTAGTAGAAAAACTTGAAATTATTGCAGATTTCATCGAACGTTCCCTTTTTTGCGTTTGGTAGAAATGTTAAAGGAATAACATTTACTTTTTTAGATACCTTGATATTCCCAATTACCAACAATATTCTAAAAACGCTACACTCTATATTTAAGAATATTCCATTATTTATTAAATATAAATTTTACTAGTGGGAAATCCGTATTTAAAGCGATAAAAGATAACGATACAAATAAATGGAAATCAAAGTTTTTGTCATTTTATAACTTCCAATGAATACAATTACATTTTTTGGACAGGCAAGATTACTAACTCTCCTCCCTCTTTAAAGACAGTATAAAAATTTCAAACTATAATAAAATAAAATCACAATTCAAGAATTTATAATGTGCCCATATATGTATACGTGTGTAATTCAATTAAATTTTTGTATATGTATATAATCTGTTTCATGGAGAGATTTTTTTCAAGAAATGTACACGGTACGGCAAAGATTTATCATAAACGCTATTTATTTGCTTATGTACAGAACTTTTATTCCTAATGAATATTTTATTAGGATTTAATAGGACTTAATGGACTGGATTGAACTTATATACATATATATTTCAGCGTCAATGAAACGCTTTTACCAGTGTACCCTGATTTGAATGATACAAGAAATCGTGCACTTCGGGGGACACGCAAGGTATCCGTACACGAAAGAGAACTGCATTACAAAATGTAAAGGAAAACGACCTCTTACACAGATATTCAACACATACAGTTGATAATTTTGCATTTAACTTTTCTTTTTCAGGAATTGTAGAATAATTTGTACGGATATCAATAACGCTTGATACTTTTCTCGAATTGAACAGTTTGCGAAGATCAAGAGAGTACAATCGTTCGACTTTTTACAATAAGTATACAGCTTTACAAGAATATTCTTTTGAAAGAGGAACATGAGACAATATAAAAGAAAAAATATTTTGATTTTTTGAAATTAAATTGTTTACGTATCGGTAGATTCTACGTCTATTGGAAATTTATGTACAGCGTATATGTAAAAGCTTTCCTGTTTCGTATCGCATCGATATAATTTGGCTTACGTATAAAACGAAGGAAACGAATCCCCCTTTGAATAGAGATTTGAGTAAGACTGAACTGAATTTCTAAAGAAACAATTGAATAAACAATATTTTTTAAACATATATCATTAGGCAGACAGGTTTCGCGTCGTTAATATTGGCTCTTTATTGACAATATGCATACATACACATGCTTTTGTATACAACGTGCATATCGAGTTGCTGCACGTGTGAAACGTGAAACACTAAATTTCAATATCTCGATTAGTTGTGTACGTACACATGTATGTATGACAGTATATGAACAAAAAAACGTAAGGGCTTAGCATAAAGACAGAAAGAAATAAAAAAAAAAAAAAAAAAAAAAAAAAAAAAAAAAAAAAAAAAAAGAAAAAACCACATCAGAGGATGATATATCTCTCCTTAACAATGTATAAAATGTTCTCAATGGCATATATTAAATTTTAGAAAGAACAAGTTGAACTGAAACAATGAATAATAACGCAGGATGATCATTTTGTTCCTTGATACGTACAATGATCATCTTTTTTTTCATCATTTTCTAATTGAAATGATATTAATTTGTATATTTTAGGCCGTCCTTCTTTGCCACGTTGACGGAACAAAATGTAAAAAAAAA